ACATACCAACAGACACACACAGAATCTTTCTTTTTTCTTTCTTTCTTTCTTTCTTTCTTTCTTTCTTTCTTTCTTTCTTTCTTTGTTTCTTTCTTTCTTTCTTTCTTTCTTTCTTTCCTTTCTTTCTTTCTTTCTTTCTTTTTCTTCCTTCCTACCTTCCTTCCTTCCTTCTTTCCTTTCATTCCTTGTCAGCATATGGGACTTGAATCCAGAAATTTGTGTCTGCCAGGCAAATATTCTACCACTGAGCTACATCCACAGCCCTTGTAGAACTTCTATTTTGACACTGAGTTTGATTAGTTACTTGAGCTGGCCTCTTGCCTCAGTTCCTTGAGGAGCAGCGATTATAAGCATGTACTACTGCTCCTGTGTCATTCATTTTTCACTTCAATAATTACTATCTGTCAAATTTCTTTACTTGAAAAACTATATGGTAGTTTTAAATGGTCTTTAAATCAAATTTGTAAAAAAATTCACTGATTGCTTTGATAAGAAAAGATTTAGAAAGTATTATGTATGTGGTGAATGTGTGTTTGTGCTAAAGAACAAATTAAAATAATTTAAATATCTTAATTAACATTATTCTTTATTCTAGAATTGAATAACTCTTCCATAAAATGGAGTAAATGTTTCAATGAGTTAAGCAGAAAAGTTTGGGGTTATAGACCTAAAAAGAGCTAAAGAAAGCAAAAACGAAAAAGATAAAAATAAGTTGTTCATTTCAAAGGTGTTTCCTTGCAAACTGGGGACAAAGAAACAGACTGATTAATATCTGATTATTGTAGGTTACTTTTTTTCAGTGGAAGGATTAAGGCAGAGAATTATCTCCCTAACTGAAAGTGTTTGCAAAACTTGGTTATCTTTCTAACCTTGATTTCTATGTCAGATAGGCAGCTAAGTTTCGGCTTGGTGACCTAGAAACTTAGCTAAACAACTCCATTTTGATATTTAGTTAAGGCTAAGGAGATATAAGAGGAGCTTCCTGTAATTTTTATCTAATAGTGTGTTTGCTTGTTTATTGAAGTATACGTGCAGATTCCCTTTTTTGCCCTCTTTGCTAGAAAGTTCTGAAAAAATTGGATTGATATTGAACTAACAAAAACATTGAATAACTTTTGATTTCTTCTCATCTGCAGGTTATGTTTTCTTTCTGTTTTGCTCTTACTGTAACTGTTTCAGTAATTTTTTGTTTATTTAATTGTGTTTGATGCTGTTTATTTAATTGCTTTTGATGCTGTTGATGAAACCCAGGCCTTCTTACTGCTTAGACAAACAATCCACCACTGAGCTGTAATTGTTAGACCAGTACTCTACCTCTGGTCTACATCCCTAGCCACATCATTATTTTGTATCACTCCACCTGAAACTAAAACTACTGAAAGTAGATGTGGTTTAAATCATAAAGTAATTACGGGAATTGTGTGGTATCTACACTCAAGTGTAGCAAAGATCAAATTTATTTCTCCCTACCTATTGTGATTGTATAAATATGTCCTGAACAGAAATGTGTATAATTTGGGTCAAGACTGAATCTTTTAGCTTCCTAAAATCACAGCTTTATTTTGCTATAAAAAATTTCAAAAAGAAGTAATAAGGGAGGACAGTAAACATTATTACGTGTACAAATTGGTGGAGTGGATAGAGAAGAGAAAAACACAATGTACACAGATATAGAAAAAGTTTCAATTTTAGATGTGAAAAAAACTATTAATATAGCATTTATATAGAGCCAACAATTCCACAAAACATGGAATAACTTTCTCTTATAATTAATGTCATATTATCAAAATGCTAGAAATAAAATTGCTGAAGAATATTATTGGTGTTATTATTATGCCTCCTTCTCCCTGGACACATAAAAATCACAAAGGGAAAGATATGCACATTTGAGCTTATAAAAGTGTTGTAATAGAAACATAAATTTGGCTTACAGAATCTGTGGCTGGCCTTAAAGAACCAATAATCTCCGGCAGCTCTACCCTAATAGTCACAGGTCCTCTACTATATGTCAGCTGCCTCTAGAGGCCACAGAAAGTTTTCTATTTGAAAGACAGAGGTAAAACTTTTGCATAGCCTAATTACAGACCTAATAAGGAAAGCCACAGTAATGTTTGCGTCTGCTTAATAGCATTTGCAGAACACGCTGTGCCAGTTACAAAACCCCAAGTGACATTGGTTATCAAATAGTGGTGAGCGTCTTGTGGCCCTTGTTGTCTTCATGTTGTGAAAGATTTGAAATTATATTATAATAAGAAAGACACAGAGAGAAGATGGTTGTGAGCCTGGGCTCCCCTATATACCTTAAAGTGAGTATATTGTAGATGTTGCTTCCAAACATAAAAAGGAACAAGAATTATTTTTTTCCTACCATACTTTGAGTAAGTGAGTTCATCCCTTTTGATGTCCATTTTCTCATGGTAATAATAAAGAAAATCAGTAGAAACTTTGTCTTGTTGCTGTGAAGACTGTCTAGATAATGTAAGACCTGAGTTTGGAAGTGTTGGCACATAATTATGGCTCCATCACTGTTAGCACGCCAGACTTAGAGAAAGACAGTGCTCACGTTTACTGAAGCTTTGTCTTCGGATAACTCATGCTGTAATGTTCAATAAATAAATAAGCAGCACACAAACATTTTTTTACTGAGAGACATGTCTCACATCCATTTAAAGAAACTTTCCATTCCTATTAAGCTTTCAGACGCTGTTACATTTTTTGACCCTATATACTTAGAATTCTTGTTTTCATACTAATTCAAAGAAGCCTGTCAGGAATAAAAAAAAAGAACAAAAATAAATACAAATAATTTCTATTTATAAATTCAGGGGGCTTATTTTCTCACAGAATGCCAGCAGTGTTGAAATAACTTAGAAGAACAATGCTTAGGAGTTCAACATGAACCCAAAGAAATAGGTCAATTATGCAAATTTTCTTTTGAAAATAAACTGAAAATCAGTTAACAGGCACTGCTTTGATGTTTAGAATCCCTGACTCTTTGGTGCATTTAGGTAATATTTGCAATAAACACTTAATGTTTTCAAACTTTACTGCCTGGGGGAGAGCCATGTGTAAGTCTGAGTTAATTTAGCACAATACACGTGTGGGTGAACATACGTGTAAGTTTGTCATGTTCCCATGAAATTCCCAGAAAAATATGAGGTGATCTAAAATGGCACGGTATTTCTTAGAGGACCAAAATTTCCCAGAAATCCATACTTTTAATTGAAATAAAATATTGAAGCAAAATGTAAAGCCTAAGTTCCTACAGAAAGTCCTCCACTCATTATTTCCTCCCTTTTCTATTTCTCTGATTTCATTTTGTGATAACTGCTATGATTTGTACTCACTATATTTTTTAAATACTTCTTTTTCTACTAATTCTTCTCTCTCTCTCTCTCTCTCTCTCTCTCTCTCTCTGTCTCTCTCTCTGTCTCTGTCTCTCTGTCTCTCTCTCTCTCTCTCATCTATCTTTCTGTCTTACTGTTCTTTTTTTTCCTTTCCTCCTTCTGCTCCCCTTGTTAACATTTATTAGTTAGTTATTTGGAAGACATGTATGTAAATCCTTAACAGGGCATCAAGAACACAATGAGGTTAGATATCTTAGATAATGTTTCATTTCAGAAATAACAATAAAGATTCACACCATAATGTCAAGAAGCAGCAATAACTCAAGCTAAAAGTGTTTTGCTTGGTGACTATATTTCAAAGAAAATTTCTTATGGTAACAAGGGTATGACACCATACACAACATGAGCCTTTCACATCTATCTCAGATGTACAGGGGGATTTTATTTAGTGGTTGGAATATAGAATGATATTCCCTTCCCCTTGTCTTCAGATATTACTTATCTCACAATGACCAAGGACATGGCTTTTAATATTTATGACTTGTTCATCAATTCTGTATATAAATTGATGAAATTTGTGTAACAAAGGAAATACTTTTGCATTGAATAAATGACGTTTTGGCCCTTTCTTTTATGACTATTTTAAATTTTAAATGTCATAATTTAAACACTTATTTTCATGGACTTCCCCATAAATGAACTTAGTTTTAGAATCTATTACACTTATTCTCCAATTTCCTGTCTGTTTTTTTAAAATGGAATGCTGTCAGAGTACCTTTTTGGGTACAAAATATAGTCCTGGTATTATAATGTTCTCTAACATCTAGTACAATCTTATAAACATTAAGGTACACAGAATTCATTTCTTAGTGTTGATGATGATCACATGGGTCCAACTGCCTTTAAGATACAGCATAAAAACTAAAAGCAATATTTATGTGCCTTGAATTCTTAAGCAATCAATGTATTTTCTGGATTCAATAGTGTCAAAACTTTTTCTAATAGAAATTATGTCAGAATATTATTATGCAGTAGGAATCTTAATTTTGGATTTTTTCTTATTGGGTAGTATTTGTCTTTATTATCTTTCATTTCAGTGTGTGTAAATAAACCCTAGAGTTATTTAGGTTGTTATATTTTGCACTGTAGCACTTTTGCCTTGTTAACTGTTATATATCTCATGGTAATAAGAGAGAAATATATTTGGCAAAGTAGCCTTCTTATATTAAAGGTGCATTTAAAATATGATGTTAGAAAGAGCCAACTTTAAAAATGATTGGCCTTAATATCTGTTGATATTGCTTTTGAAAATACACTTACCACAAAAAATGTTCCCATTGGGTATTTTGCAAACTGACTGAAAATATGATAAATCGTTTTTAGTTTGCAGGCAAAAGAAAAGGCTTCATTTTTTTTTGTTGTTATTTATAACTTCAAAAAGGAAATACTTTTTTTAAGCTGGCTGTGTGCACATGACTCCAGTTACCAATTGATATAATGAGTCCAGTAGGAACCTTCTCTTTCTTTATGATGACCCGTCAAGTGTGACCTTATCTCTGAAAACATTAAGAATCACTGAATGGAGCCTCCTTACCTTGTTTTGCCAAGTGCTTTACATAAAACTGTGTAAATTATGATATGATTATTTTACAGGAGCCAGCGAGAAAGAAATAGCCTTAATGAATGCTTTGACTGTTAACTTACATCTCCTATTGGTAAGTTTCCTTCCCCACCAGTGTTTAGAATACAGTCATTTATAAAATCTGATGCTCTCCTATCTTTAATTCATCTGAATGTGAGGTTTTAATTATTTAAAAAATAAGATATAAGGTTATTTTCATTTTTACCAGAAAATGTTGGACTATGATATAATGATTTTTTCATAAACAGCAATAGTTGATCCTGTGGGTTTTAGAATATCTCCAAACATAACCAAATAGAGTCATGGTGGGTGAAAAGGTACCCTGCTTGCGGGTACACAGTATAAGGATGCACAATTACAATCAGAGCACTGAACTTCTCAGAAAGACAACCTCGAATATGCTGAACTTCAGCAGGGTAGGTAGAACTTGATCAGTGTTCTATTGTGTGTTAAATTTTTTGATTCCTAGTACCAAAAAAAAAGTAGCTACTAATTTTTGAATAGGTTTAAAATGCATGAAATAGACTAACTTGGAGAAAAGAGATCTTATGAGCTAAATAGTTAAGGTACTTATTGGATCTTAAATATGCAATAGTTACACCTTAAGGTGTGAAATGTGTTCTCAATTTGGGATATAGCATCTATAGCAATCAATTGGCACTGAAAAATTTTGACCTTGTGTTTTAATTGTGTATTGAAAACATTGCTACACGTTCAGACAGCCTTTGTTTTAAGCCCCAGATAAGTTAATTAATGTTTGCTAGACATTAGAGAACATATTCAACATCTCTAAATATTAACTGTGTATTTTATAAAAGTGAACACACGAATACATATCACATAGATCTATAGGAAGATTAAATATGACACCAGATGGAAGTTACTATAACACCCTGGCCCATAATCAGCACCTAGTTAATAGTAATAATGCCCATTGTTATTCTCAACCTATTTCTCCAGAAACTGGAGAAATAAAAGAGCCTTACTGAATAAACAGGCTACTTCTCACTGGTGCATCTAAGGACGAATGTTTCATATTGATATACTTGTAGGTAGACCTGAAATGAAATACCATAAAATAAAGAAAACAGTGGAAAATTGTGTAATTGAAGCCAAATTAGTAGTGCCTGGTAAATAATTATAAATAAGACACATATGTAGAACAAGATATTTCAATTTCATACTAAAGAAATTACCATTACATTCTTTGGATGATAAATTTTCAATTGACATGTAAGTAGAGTGTGCGAAGTTGTTTTATCTGATATACATTTCCCCTGTTTGCTTTCCCATTGATAAATACAATGGGCCAATGTATTTTTCCTCTGTATAAGTCATTCTAAAGAATTCTAATTGAAAAGGAACCACTGACAGATAGCTTAGATGTTTAACTAATCCCTTTAAAATGTTTGAGATCATAAAATGAAAGCATGTCATAAAGTGAACAAGTGTAAATTGTGCATTAATGCTTTCTCAATAAATCCATTTCATTGCAGTTATCATTTTTTAAGCCTACGCCAAAACGGTATAAAATTCTTCTAGAAGCCAAAGCCTTCCCTTCTGATCATGTAAGGATTTCCTCAAGTTATATTTATGGTCTTCCTTCTCTTCTTAGAGGGAGGTATCCTTGGCCTGACTTGAATATGTATTCATTTGTTTTTGAAAGAAACTTTACTATAGAAACATCTACCAAATGCTTTTGATTTAAGCAGTTTTTATAGATTGTAGATTTATTCCTGTTGTTCAACTAAAACTTGTGTTAAGGGAGGAAAAGATTGAATAGGAACATTGATTTATTAGTCTTTTAAAAGACATTGAGTAAACTGCTCGTTTAAATCAAGTGTGGTTATAAAAGTTTTATTAATTCCTGTTGCTGTTTTATTTTATGAAATCGAATCAATACTAACCCCAGTGCTTAAACTTTTAGCTACATAAAATTGAAATGGAAGCTTTTGTTTGTCTCTTTGTTCCTTAGCGTGCTAACATATTTATTGATGCCTTATTAGCAAAAGCTGTATTTATTAAGGATTCAAAATACTTCTTGTGGATCGCAAAAGGTGCTAGCACAGCAGTAATTCAGTTGATACATTTTTTTGCTGTGACAGACACACACACACACACACACACACAGTGCATTGCATATTTCTTGTTAGAGATTTACTGTTACAGAAACTTAGTTTCTATATTTACGTTATTCTAGCTCACATCTTGTAATTCTATGGCATATAAAAACTATGTTGTTGAAATTAATAGCCATTATCTTACTAAAAAGGAGCAAAACTCCAACATCTTTTAAAAATTTGGATCCTTGTAATAATATCTCATTCCCATGCATACCAAATTGTCAGCAAAGTAGATTCTTTAATATCTTTTCATCTCAATAGTTTATTCTTTTTAAGCCAAACCATTTTTATATCCTGAAGCATAACAAGTACATATTACTCCCTAGTTATTTTGAAATTCAGATTTTGACTTGTGATAGTAGAGTTGTAGTATAAAAATCTCTTGTAACTTTTAAAGTCCAAATGACCTCTATATTTCCACTCAACTCTAATTTGTACTGTTTTAAAGATTGTTCAGATTCCTGCTTCTCATGTTAAGTAGTTTTTCTTTGATGTATGATTCAGTTACTTTCAACCTTGACCTTGGTTGTAACACAATAAGATGTTTTTATTGATATTTTATTGTTTGTTTTCCGAGTTGTTATTGCAATGCACTTCTGTGCATTCAGTTCGATTTAATAAATAAATTACCCTTCCCTTTCAGTATGCCATGGAGTCACAGCTTCAACTTCATGGGCTCGATGTTGAGAAAAGTATGCGGATGATAAAGCCGAGAGAGGTACATGACAAGAAATAAATATTCATTGTGCTTCTACTCAGTATTGATTTTTTGTCTTCCATTTCCTGAAAAGTTCTTCATTACTTTAATGGAACTTTCAAGAAAGTGTAAAAAATACTTCTGTTACTATTAGATCATATTGTGTAAAATAGAAAATAGAAAGATTTCAGAGTATTAAGCCAATGTTTCAATAATTACTTTCTTCAATATAAGTACTTTGAAAAAAAGTAAAGACCTGGTCTCTTCACTTCTATTTGCCAATACTCGAGAAGTTAATGAAATAAAACATTCTAAGGATATCTACTACAGGCATGCTATATAAATTACCAATTTCTAGCTCAACTGAATATGGCTAGCAACAATCATAGGTTTTAATCTTATAAATAAGTAACCAGAATTTATTGTCCCATGAGTTAATTACAATATTGGGACCAGTGTTTAGCACTGCCAGCTGAAAATAAGTCCACGGGAATGAGGCCCCTCTCCCATCTTTGTGAAATATGTTTCTTCCTTTTTTAATACTGACTCTTTAAAGAAATAAATTGCTTATCAGTTTATGCAGTACTATCCTTATCCTTTATTTTTAATTGTGGTAGCCAACCATATTAAATTCTTTAGTGAATAAAAATTTATACTTTACTTAGAAATTTTCTCATAATTTATTTTCTTTATATATTAAATTCTCCTCTTTACGTGTTTAAAATATATTTTTGAGTTATCATGTCAGGGATTTCAATATCATCCCTGTTCTTATTCTGTAAAATATTCCAGATGTTTTTAATACAAACATATACAAATCGTCACAACCCTCCACCCCCATGCACACAAACCACAAGGAACATAGAGCATGGATCAGAGTGACTGGCAAAGGACAAGAATTATAACTTAGAAATAAACTGAAGAATAACTTAGGAACATATTATGAAGTTTTCCTCCAACATTAATCTAATTAATGATGCATGGACCTCAAAGTTATGTGAAACTTAGCACTGGAGAAAGTTTAAAAACATTTGTTAAGTTGATTGGAATTGTTAGCATACAAGTAGATGCTTTCTATTTAACCAGTTTATTTCAGGTCAAATTGTTGGCAAGGACACACCTAAGTTGATTCACAATCATGAATTACATTTGGATGATAAGGAGAATATGATGATGAGAATATGCTGGGTGCTAGTGAAACTTTATGATTCTGTTTTTGGATTGGATCTTGAACTTTAGTTTGAAGAAGATTTTACAGTTAAGTGAATAGAAATTAGTTCATTCAAAACAAAGACACTGCAGTGATTTTGTCCTGAAAGATTATATTACATTGATAAATTCAATTCTTATTTTCAACAAATTTCTGTTGTTATATGATTTTTCATGGACTTCTTACATTTTGAATGTTTTGTACAGTCCCAGTTTGTATTTAATGAGAAAAAACTCATACATATACAAAATTATAAAGATCAATTGAAAAGCTGAAGGATAAATCAAAGGAATATGTTTCTGCAAAGACTGAGGCATTAAACAACTCCCTTTTACTATTTTATTATCACTTCTTAACAATGAGTATATCTGCCAAAGTACTGCTCTTCGACCAGGTTTTTACAGTGTGTGAGTGTGGGGATAAAAATTGACCTTCTCTTTTTCTTATGGTGAGAAAGATATGGTGAAATTTAGACTGACAAATACAAAGTGACAAATCATTATTTTGATTACTGCATAACTTGTGTCTGCTTTGGCTTAGGGGGAAGAAATCTTAAGAATGGAGGATATTCTTGAAGTCATTGAAAAAGAAGGAGACTCAATTGCCGTGATCCTGTTCAGTGGGCTTCAGTTTTACACGGGACAGCTCTTTAACATTCCCGCCATTACAAAAGCTGGACAAGCGAAGGTATTCACATACTGCTCCCCGCCCCCTGCTCCCAAGCCTTCAGTCAGCTGAAGAGTAAGTAATACAACTGCACTTGTGTGAAGTACTTTCATGCATGTCAGGTGAGATGACTATAAGAATTTTTTAAGAGCAAGTCTTACATTCCTTTTCTTTTCTTGAGACACCATCTCACTATGCAGTTCAGGCTGGCCTTGAACTCACTATGTAGCTGATTGAGACTGGCCTTGAATTTGCAGTGATCCTCTTGCTTTGGCGTCCCAAGTGCTGGGATTACAGGCATGTGCCACCATGACTTGTTTACTTTTTAAGAGAAAAAAATCTGTATTCTCTTTTGCTTGAGGCGTCTATTTAAATCACTTTTTGCCACTTCTGTGGTCTCATCATCTTATACGCAAATGTTCCCTCTGTGTTTGCCTCAGGCAGCAGGACAGGCAAGCGTTCCACAGATGATGCTTCCATTCAGCTGCTCAGACAGCAGGAAGCAGACAGAATACTTCAGGCAATAACTACATGTGAGGACCGCTAAAACTCTGGTACTTGGTCATCCTATCGCTCGTATTAAAATGAGATGTGCTCACTGAATCCTCAGTGTCTAAAGAGGGAGAAGTGAGATTTCATGAGTATGTCAAGTGGACCTTAGTAGTAGATCAAGCTTTACGCAAGTTACTTTTTTTCTTTAAAGAAACTTGAGAAATTTTTATACTACCTACCAGAGATTTTGCCTATGCACTGATAAATAACATTTAAATCTTTACCATTTGGAAATTGTGTGTCTTTGTGTATGAGTGCTACAAAATGATTTTAGCATTTATTTGCCTGAAAGGAAGAAATGAGGGGGGGAGGCAAAAGTCATAATTTATTTTTAAAATCTTTAAGTAGCAGTTCTGTTTGATTCAGAAATCAAGTCATGTATTTGAAAAGGTGGCAATCAAATTTTATTCTGGACATTAATAAGCTATGGGTTTAATATATATGTGAGGTCTAGTTCATATAGTCAGTTACTGACCTAATGAATGGGACTAATGAAAAGAATTTCAGCACCATTATCCGGAGTCTCTAGGAATTCCCAGCCATGCCTTCCAACGGATTTGATGAATAACTTTCAAAGTGCTGCATTACAAAAGAAATAAAATCATCGCTTCTTAATTTACATATTAAGCACCAAAGTAAAAGGGAGCATACAAAAATCTATTTTAAAATGTTATACAAGTAATCAGTGGGTCCTGCTCTGTTAGTGTACATGCATGTGTCATTTCAATTCCTAAATGTGAGACGGGAAGATACAGAAGACCACAGGTTTCGTGGTCACAGAGTCTGAAGTTTAAATCTTGGTTGAGTCACTTTGTTGGTGTATGATGTTGGGAAAGTTACTTGATTTTTCTGGGTCTCTTTCTAAAATGTTAATTTAGATTAATAATACAGACTCACTAATTCAGTGTGAAAATGTAGAGTGTCTCTTGTATTGGCACACAGTTTCTATTAAGTATTGGTTCCCTCTCCTGCTATCTTTAACCGATATGAAACTATTACAAGAGATTCAGATATCACCTTATTTCCCATTAAAAGCAAAATAAGTTTCTTTACTTAGCTTTTATATAGGTAATTTTCATTCTTAAGTACTCTTGTGGCTAAGACCACTCTCCAAGTGTTTTGTAGACTTTCCTTCATTTACAAAATTTAAGACTACCAAGTCAATCTTTCATGGAGCTCTCAACCAAATTCACGAAGGTAGAAGTCAGCAGTTAAACCTAAATATAACTGCAAAAAGGGGATGGATACCGTGGGAATGAACGGGGGATGCAGCAGACTTAGATTTACCTATTATCAAAATTATCCGTACAAATATTTATCCTCTTGCTAGACAATTCCTCCCATCTCAAAGGAGGCTGAGCAATTAGGCTAATTTAAAATTACACTTACATAACTCCCTTGGGCAGGCTATGAAGATAAAACTGAATAGAGAGGCGGAAAGGAAATTAAAGGTGTCAGTCAAAAAAGAGATAGGAAACTATAGACCAGAAAAGCCCCTCCTAATAGTCACTGCTAAGATTAGCTAATTGGAATAAAAGAGAGGAATGTTTCCAGAAATTAAGCTTAATTGCAACCCCAGAAAATGGTCAGATGGAGCAATAAGAAGCAATGAGTGGATTTTGAAGTAAAAACAATATTATGAACTAAAATATTCAAATCACAATGAAGGAGAGAGAACTTTGGATAAGAATTTGAAAAATAATTTAAAGAAATACATGTATACCAAGAGCAGGACAGTCATAAGAAAAAGGCTCCTTAAGTTACTTTGAACACTGTAGCCATCATCCTGATACAAACACTGAACATTTCCAATTCTCTGCATCCTCAGCTCTGCTGTCTTCCAAATACTACTAAAGCTAGTGTTGGTCCCTTCAGACAGTCATAAAGTACTTTAAAAATGAAGAGAAGTACATGGCCTACAGTTGCGCAGGCTGTGAAATTAGAGATGAAGGTGTCTGGTGAGGGCTTGATCTTTGCCTCACAGATGGCACCTTGTTGCTGTATTGTCACATACCAGAGCAGGGCAGGAAGCTCACTGGAGCTTCTTTCGTAAGGGCGAGAACTCCTTCCGTGAGGTTAGAGCGCTGGTGATACCCTTACCTCCCAACCACAGCACACTGGTATCAGATAATCAGTATTAGGTAATGACTGGTGAGTTTTGGAGGAATGCTAACATTTAGAGCACAGTATCTCCCTTATGAACGTACCATTCTGCTGCCTTCAGCTTTGTCTTTTGGTCATTATATAAATACATGTTTATCCACTTTAACTTTATTAAAGTGCACATATAAAATTTTTTATGTTTAACTTACTTGCTATTATTGTGTATTTATATGTATGCATATGGTATTTAGCAGCACTTTTCATGCTCTTTGCTTATTTTTTCATTTAAGTGTTACACTGTGCAATATAGAACACAATTTATTATTTTTCCATTCTAATTGGGTAGAGAGTTTATTTTCAGGTCTGCTTTTAGGCTAGCACAATAAATGCTACTCTCAATATTCTTATAATTTGGAAGGAAAAGCATTGATATAAAATTTGGTTACATGTATACCTAGAAATAGGATTCTTGGATCGTAAATTATGTGTATATGTATTATTAATCAATAATGCCAGTTTTTTAAAGTGTTTGCATTAATTTGGCATATACTCTTTCTCAGCAGTATAGGCAAGAGTGTCTATTATTCTACATCATCACCAATAGTTTCTACTGTATGAGTTTTAAATTTTAGCCAATCTGATTAGGTCATAATGACGATGTAGTTTTAATATCTACTTCCCTAATTATTGATGAGGTTGAGAATGTTTAAAATGTTTAATGGCTGTAGTTTATGAAATCCTTATCATACCCACTTTTCTATTTGATTATCAGCCCTTTTCTGGTTTGGTTGTACATAGTATAGAAACTGACACTACAGACAAGGATATACTTAATTTCCAGTAGTCATCAAAGAGGAAAATAAACTAATTAATAAGACAGAAATTGATAGTATGCCTAATTCCTATAATAAATTTAATATGCTGAGGTTAAGGAAAATGCAACAGGGTCAGTTCAGAGAATGAAATCACAAGGGAAGGTTGGCATGTGGCCAAAGGTATCCGTTTGTAGACACTTTCATTGTTTGTATTTTAAGCCATGGATGTTATTTTATCGTACTGGCTAACCTAGCTCTTTGGAGGTCTGCTATTCTTCCATATTTCTGTACTTTTCATATTCTATAAAAATGTCCTTTCTATTTCAATGTTATATAGATGCTTCCCATTGTCCTTTGCTTTACTGTCTCCAGGGATTTTTATTCTTATTCCCCTTCACACACACACACACACACACACACACACACAAACACACACACTCACTCAGCTGTCACTGTCAACTGAAAGCTCCAGGCTACTCCTATAATAGGAAAGTGCCCCTTACGCTCACGTGTGTACCACACTTGGATGTCCTACCTGCACCTTGAGATCAGATTGCTCCAAACAGATTTGTCTCCTCCCCAGATGCCTGTTTTGCTTCATGTCACCATCCTGCTGGATCTTTAAAGTCATCACAGGCTTCCTGTTCTTGATCTTTTTAACCAATTATTTTGTAATTCTGCCCCCTCACTGACTATTTTGTCCAATATATTTCCAAATCACAGATGAAGATTTTAATCCATATAAACAGAATCTCAGTTAAAATCAGACAGAAAGCAAGGATTTCATTTTTCTAATCAGAAAAGACTTTAGAATCAGGGATGCTGAGCTGAATTCAGAAACTCACTTAAGTGCTGGGGTCTGATTAGGCTCCCAGATACCTTTAGGTGGAAATGACAGGGACTAAAAGAAAGACCGAGACAGTATTAAAGGTGTAAAGGGACCAGGAGGAGCTTCCTTCTAGTGGACAGGCTTGACAATCTCTACGGCTGCCTCACTTTTATTATTATGGGGTCATACATCATTCATAAAACGGTTGAAAGACATTTTGAAAAATAAGGAACAGGTTAAATTTTAAAAGGGGAAAAGGTTAACAGGGGAACAAGCCATTCTCTCTATGCTGGGTGGCCTGCATTAGTTAATAGGGTACTAGCATTCTTTACATTGTCCACAGCAGATGTGCTTGCCCTGGTAGCACTGTGCTTATGATCTTTCCTCACACAGACGGAAAACACATGGCGTCCCATGTACTTTTCTATTCCCGAGGTAAGTGGACATCGGCCTTGGGACCGTTGGGTTCAGCTCAGGACCTTGGCCCCCACCACACATCCTGGCCTCAACCGTTAAATATAATTTCCAGAGTTCTTTTAACACTTTTCTCAGATTTTTCACATTACAGTTCTAAGGTGGTTGTCCCAAGTCCAGATATTGCATTTCTATTTAAGGCAGAAAGAAGGAAGGAGAAGTAGCAACGCAGCTTCATCTGGCCCTTTCATCTGAAGTGCTAAATTTTCCAAGGGGGAAAAAAAAAACTAGTAAATCCCTACACATGA